GCATGCAAGGCAAGCGCTCTACCACTGAGCCAACTTCCCAGCCCCTAGGAGATTATTTTCCTACAGCCTGTCCTACCATTCATATTTCATCACCCCTCTCCTGTCCTTATACCACCCTCTCTCTCCTTCCATTCTAGCCTGTTGGGTTTCCTACACCACAAAGGCCCCAAGTATATTCTCATCTTGGGTATTTGCACAAGCCAGTTGTACTGCCTAAAATGGCTCCCCACACAATTTCCATGGCAGGGGCCTTCCACATCTCCCTCTTTGGGGATTTCTAGGCTCCTCTGACTTGCAGGACTGTCTGGACCCCATCAGGCAGTCTTACTGGATATCTAAAAGGGATGTCCAGGAGTCTGACATTCTTGTGCCTTAGCCCTTGCTCCCAACATGGTCCAAATGTCCTCACTGACAGCTCCTTCAAATCCACCCACTGTGGCTTTCCATTTATCCTAGCTAAAATAGGCTATGACTCTGACCCTGAATCAGAACCCCCCAAGTCCCAGGGCCTGGACTTCAGAGAACTCCACACTTGTCCACCTTATTTCTCCATCTGATCTCTCAGGCCCACTCAGTGGCACAAAGCTTTTCCTCCTGGCTAGTCTGGGCTCCAACTCTCCCAGCAACACTGGCTCTGTACCTCTGTCCACTCACCTTTCGCAGCCTCAGTTCGCTTGGGCAGGTCCAGCGTGTCAAAGTTCTGGTCCACCTCACCATCCTTCTTCCCTAGAATGGAAGGGTAGTTGGAGGTAAGACAGATTCCATGGATGGATATGTGTGTGTTAGAAAGGTTAGACATAACTCTTTCCTGCCCAGAGCCCAAAGAGCACCCATATGTAGGCCTAAACACCAAGAGACTCTGGAAATGGAGCACCATTCAGAGTTCAGGCAGGCAGCTTGGCCCAGAGAGGGGACAGTGGGACCTGGGGATATCCTAGACCTGCCTTGAGTACCTAGGCCTCTTCTCCCATCATAGGATTGGGAACTATGCCAAAAAGCCTGTCCACAGTGCCCATGTGGCTGCATGGTTCAGCTGTATGAACTGAGAAAGCAGGAACCTAGGTTAGGTGGCATGTAGGTACAAGCAGAGAAACAAGAGCTTGCTGGGGTAACACGATGAAGCAGGGCAGGGAGACTTGAGTTCCACCCAAGGAGAAAACTCCTCTAGAGGCCATAACTAAGGTCTAGCCTCTATACCAGCTAAACAAAACTCCCATGGCAACCCTACAAAACACTGGTATACTTCTAGGAACCCACCACCCCATCTCAACTGAGAGCAAGCCAGGATCAGATGATCTGGGGCCCCTGCCTTGCCCACCCGCATGTTAACTTTGTATATCTGAATCAACACATTACCCATTCCATGAGAGGGGGCAGCCTGCTCCCTGGCGCCCATGGGCACAGACATGACCCAGGCCCCACCTATTGTCTTCTCTGCCTCAGCCTGCCTGGATAGCTGGGTCTGACTTAAGAGGGCAACCCTTGGCCGCCTCACCAGTCTGGGACTCACATTCCTGCCTTTGTCATGTCCATGCAGTTGTCATGGAGATAGGACTAGGGGTGGGAGAGGGGCTGGAGGCTGGAAGGCATCCTGGTGACCACTGCACTATAGTTGTCATGGAAATAACTGAGCCTGAGCCATGGGGATAGCATTTTTCTAGTGCCCACTGCACCTGCCAGGCCTGGACAACAGGACAAACAGGACTCACCTTGATGGAACCACTCCTCTGGAAGGAAGCACAGGAGAGAGGAGATGAGCCTGAGTGGGTAGCACCCTCCCCATGCCCTCTTGTTCCCACTGCACACTGGATCAAGCAGACAGGATGTGGAGCCTCACCCCAATGAGTCTTGGGGCCTGAGTGTCCACCAGTGGGGCAGGAAAGGGATGCTTGGGGTCAGGTGAAGGTAATGCATAGACCCCACTACAACTGCTGTTGGGTAGTCCCACTGCACCCTGTACCCTGTAGGTTCCAAAGGTGCTAGTGTTTAGCAGTGGCCCAGACAGGTCGAGTGGGGTATGCCTGCAGGGCTCAGAGCCTCCAGTTGCTCTGTGAATGTCCAGTTTTCACTTGTGAGCCCAAAGAACCCTTCTCCAGAGTCTGAGCAGTTATCCAGGTGATCCTTCAGGTTACACAGGAGGGACTTGAGTCTGAGCCCTGGCCTGTCAGCTGTTGTGATCTAGGGCAGTGCCCTCTTCAGCTTCCTGTCTGCCCACTGAGCACTGACCAGATGTCCTCCAGCCTCCATGACTGCCTACCACAAATATGGAGAGCCTTGAGCTATGGGAGAAGGGCTAGAGAAGTGCCCTAATCTCACCCACCCACCTTTGGCCTTCTTTCCACCAAAGCAGCTTGCATCATCTCTCCTCCGGCGCTGGGAGCCTGTGGCACTGCCTGGGGGCCCGGGCTCAGCCTCTTGGTACCTGTCAGCCCCAGGCACCTCCTTATGCACGTGGTAGGACAGGTTCCGCATGATGCACACGCAGTTCTCCACTGACTGTGGGGAAAGGTGACCTGGTGGGGCTGGGCCGTGGGGCCAGGGGGTGGCTGAACAACCCAAGCCCCCAGGGAAGACTGGCAACAGCTAGTGTGCCCAAAGTGTAGAGGCAACAAGGCCTGAGGTAGGGGCCCGCATAAGAGGGAATTGCCAGTAGGGCCACAGGAGGAAGCTTGGATCTTGCAGACCACTTGCCATGCGTAGAACCATGTCCCAGTATGGCCACTCCAAATGGGCTGCCCAGACTCACACAGCCTTTCCCCATTAGCCACCTTCGACATCCCACACCCCCGGGTCCCACTCCTACACCATCTGTCTCAGAGTTTGTGAGACTGTTCCCAAGTTGCTCCACCCACCTTGTTGTCCGTGTCCTTCCTGCCCACTGCCGACTGCAGGGCATGCAGGAGCGCATCCACCAGCCCTTCACACTCCCGGAGTCGCCGGCGGGCCTCGGCACCATCTGAACTCACGTTCCTAGGTGGCCGAAAGTAGGCCCAGTGATCCCTGGCCCTAGTCCATAGGAATTTCCCTCAGCCCCACCCACCACTGGCCCAGGATCTGGTCCTCATCTGCACAATAGGCCCTGATGCTCTCCCCAGGGACTCTGGACAGTACACCACAGCCTGGAGCACAGAACAGAGGGGCAGAGGTTTAAATACCCAGACCCAGGAGGTGGACTTTAGGTGGAACAGGAAGGACTGACTCCCAAGTGAACTGAAAGGCACAGAGTCGGGCCCAGAGGCCCGACTCTGTGCATGGGTAATTCCAACCCTCCATCCCGGTGTCAGTTCCCTGTGCCCCAACTTGCCCCAAGGTCAGGACCTCATGGGGCCATGATAGCACACATTGATGATAGGTAGGACTCTTGACTGAGGTCTCTGCAGGATGACCTAGGGATGGGAGGAAATAGGAGAGCAAGGGCCACAGGCTGGAGAAAGGAGCCACTAAGGAAGACTGGAGATGATGGTCCTGCTCTGCCTTCTTGGCTATCATGGTAATAGAAGGGTGGGCACAGCAATGGGAGGGCTGGAATGGTAGGGAACTGTGGGAAAGAGGGAAAACCTTATCCAGAGAGTGTCTTTGGGTGTGAGAGCAGCACCATCTGACATCATTTCTCATTGTTAGCATGTGGGTCTGAAGCTACTAAGATTCAGCTGCCTGATAGTGTTCTACACTGGGACCTTGAAGATATGGCAGCTGCAGGAGAAGCCTTGTGTATGCATGCAGACTCTGATACCCCAGCATCCTGCAGGAACAGCCTGAGCCCAGCCCCTGCCCACACCTCAAGCAGCCAGATGTGTTCTTGAAGACAGTCGTCCATTCAGCATCCCGTGGCTTGGAGTCTTCATTGGGCTCACGCTCCCAGCCCGAGTGGGGCACTATGACCTCATGGGTCAGTGTCTGCAGGCCATGGTCAATGATGACCATCTTCAGGGGCTCATAGGATGACAGGTTCCAGAGTGTGCCTGTGGGATGCCACCACGCAACTCTGCTGACCATGGGCCTCACCTCCCTTGCCTCTCCAGGGCATCCCAATCAAGACTGGTCTTGTGCCCAAGTCCCACAGGAAGTTAGGAGAGTTGGAGTTTTTTGTTTTGGGTTTTTTTGTTTTTGTTTTTGTCAGTTGTGGGGCTTGAACTCTGTGTCTGGGCGCTGTCCCTCAGCTCTTCAGCTTAAGGCAAGCACTCTACCACTTGAGCCACAGCACCACTTCTGGTTTTCTGGTGGTTTATTAGAGATAAGAGTCTCACGACTTTCCTTGCTGGGGCTGGCTTTGAACCGTGATCCTGAGATCTCAGCCTCCTGAGTAGGTAGGATTACAGGCATGAGCCACCGGCACCTGGCTAGAGTTGGAGTTTTTTCTTTTCTTTTTTTTGCCAGTCGTGGGGCCTGAACTCTGGGCCTGGGCACTGTCCCTCAGCTCTTCAGCTCAAGGCTAGAGCTCTACCACTTGAGCCACAGCGCCACTTCCAGCTT